AGACATCACCATATCCCATTTGAAGTCATTGTTTCACATTAAGACACAATCCTATCTCTTTTGGCCCCACTGTCATTCCCCACACCACCCAAGCCCAAGACAACTGCTTGTCTACTTTTCTGATTGTAGCTCGCCCTGTTCCGGGCTGTCATAGGAATAAGCTCTCATAGTACGTGGTCTTTTGTGGTTGACTTCAGTTTAATGTTTTCAGGATTCATCCACGTGGCAACCCATAGCCTTCCCTTTCAGTGGGGGATCATTTCCTGTCTTGTGGGTCCACTGCATTTTGTTTATTCAGTCCATGGTACCTACATTTTGGCAGTTGTGGATAATATGTTATGCATGTCTTTGTTTCTATTGAGGATAGCAGCTGTGAGTAGAGTGCCTGGGTCAGGTGCTAACTTGAGGAGCTGTCCTCCTCATTTGAGGAGCTGTCCAAGTGTTATTCTAAAGCAGACGGACCACTTGACATGTCTTCCAATGATATGCAAGGGTTCAAATTTCTTCATATTTTTGTCAGCACTTGCTTTTAGCCTACTTTTTAGTTCTAGCCATCTTGGTGGAGAAGTAATATTTCATAGTGGAGCTTTTGAATTTTCCCTTAAAGCTGATTTTCATGGCACCGGCCATTGAATGGAAGTAAACCATGACAAGTATGCAGGTTGCACAGTGGACAACCACATGGGGTACTTTACACATCAATTAGGTACTTCCCTGTTCCATGTTAACTTGGAAGCCTCTGCCAATATTCAGTGGGATAGTTCGAGTTTCTTCCTGTTTGCTTTTTCTCCGGGCCTGGTTTACATTTTTGCTAACTTCCGGCCCTGCCAGATGCTCCTTCCTCTCTTTCCCACCCTTGAGCAAGACCCTCCCTGGAGGTCGTAACTGAGCAACAGGTCTCAGGCTGGAATCACTGAGGGCTGCTTCCTAGGAGACCGTTTGAGAACTCAAGATGCCCTCTGCCTTCCCCGGTGAACACTCTCTGTGCAGAAGAGGGAGGTGCCATGCCATGGGTACGCTGATTCTTTGACAGGCACAGCAGTGGGAGGAGCTAGCCCTAGATTCTGACGTTCCTGGTTCCTGATCCTGGTCCACGGCCTGCTGGGCCTAATCGCCCGTGCCTGCCAAGCTGCCTGTCTAACGGGACCCACCTCCAAAGCGGGTGTGAATCACAGGCAGGTGATGGACAGGTCACAGGTGGCTTTGTTGAGTATCAGGCGAAGCTGGTCACAGAGATGAAATCTGAACTTGAAGTAGGTCACACCTGTGTGTGGAATCCGGGACCGTGTGCAAACAGATCTTAAGGCCTTAGTACAAAAAAGAGCAAACTTTGTTTGTTTCTTTGTTTTTATTACAACAGAAAGAGAAAGCTGAGGAAAAAGAGAGGAAAGGAGGAAAGAGATTTTTCCTCCACTGATTCACTCCCCAAGTGCTGAAGTGAGGAGCCTGGTACCTGATGCAGATCTCCCATGTGAGTGACAAGGGCCCAGCTAGTTGAACCATCACCTGCTGTGCTCAGGCTGCGCATTAGCAGGAGGCTGGATCAGAAGTAAAGGGACTGGGACTCAATGAGGCCCTCCATATATGATGTGCAGGCCCTGCAAGTGGTGTCTACCCCGTACAGGACCATTTGAAGCTTTGAATGCTTTGACCTGGCCCAGCCTTGTGATCATGGGGCATTTGGAGGCAGTGCTGCAGACATACTGCATAGGGTAACATACGGTCAAGGACAGCACATTAAGTGCTGAAACATTCACTGCAGGGCAGCTCATGGGCTACATGTTGTCACAGGGCTCCTCCTTCTAGAATCATTGGTAAAGCCGGCAGGAGGTGATGGATATGCTTACCACGTGGGTTGTGGTGATACTTTCACAGATGGATGTTTGAGAGAGTAAATGGGTAAATGGACTGTAATTTTTTAATGGAAAGAGATTGATTCCATCTACTGGTTCACTCCCAAGATATCCACAGCATCTGGGGCTGGGCAAGGTTGAAACCAGGAACCCAAAACTCTGTATGGGTTTCCCACATGTGCAGATACTAGAGCCCTCACCTGCTGCTTCTAGGATACATGTCAGCAGGAAGTTGGAATTGAAAGCTGAGCCAGGACTCAAACCAAGGCGTTCTGAGCGGGACATGGGCATTCCAACAGATGTCTTAATGCCTGCACCCAACGCCCATCCCCACAGGAGTATTCTTGTACACCAACTTACCTGGTTGTATATGTTAAACATGTGCAGCTTTATCTATGTCCATTATGCCTCAACCACGTTGCTTCTTTAAAAAGGAATTTGATAGGGCCCGGCGCAATGGCCTAGTAGCTAAAGTCCTTGCCTTGAACACGCTGGGATCCCATATGGGTGCCAGTTCTAATCCCGGCAGCTCCACTTCCCATCCAGCTCCCTGCTTGTGGCCTGGGAAAGCAGTTGAGGATGGCCTAAACCTTGGGACCCTGTACCCGCGTGGGAGACCTGGAGGAAATTCTGGCTCCTGGCTTCGGATCGGCACAGCACTAGCCGTTGCAGCTCCCTTGGGGAGTGAATCATCAGAAGAAAGATCTTTCTCTTTATTTCTCCTCCTCTCTGTATATATGACTTTGTAATAAAAATAAATGAATCTTTTCCAAAAAAAGGAATTTGGTAAAAGTCGTTTCAGAGCAATGGAAGGAACCATTGACGTCCTTATCTGTTGAGTCTAACCGATGGGGTCCATCATGGTTCTTTAAGGTCTGTGAACCATGAAGAAGTTATTCTCACATTCCAGAACTCATGGAGTGCTGCTGCTCACGTTTGAAGAGCTCTCCTGGTGGTGTCCTTCAGCCCCAGGCCAGGAACCCAAGACCTGGGAAGGCTCCCTGCTGCCTTTGTCCTGCTGGACATAGCAGAGGGCACAGTCCAAGTCCAAATTCAGGCTAGTCTGATCCTCTCTCTGCTCCTCAGTCAGCTCAGCTGGAAAGTGGCTGGAAAACAAGCAACATTGTGTTCTACTGGAGTTTCTTATTTTTAAAAAGATTTGTTGGTTTGAAAGAGTGATGTATAGAGAGAAAGAGACTTAAAAAAGAGAGCGAGCAAGAGAAAGAGAGATCTTCCATCAGCTGATTCACTTCCCAGATAGATGCAATAGCTGGGGTTGGGCTGGTCTAAGGTCAGGAACCAGAAGATTCCGCCTGGGTGCAGAGGGTCAGGTACTCGAGCCATCCTCTGCTGCTTTCCCAGGCACATTAGAAGGCAGCTGCCAGGACCCGAACCAACTGCCTTGTGGGATGCTGATGCTACCTGGCAGCTTTGCCCATTGTGTCACAGGGCTACCCCTCCCACTTGGAGTTCCATAGTGGATCCGGGTAGAGGCTCATAGACCAGGAAGCAAAGGCTCTTCCACTGACTGCTGCCTTCCAGGGAGGCAGAATTGAAGAGTTAGAGACTTTCTAGGTTCATCAATATGAGCAATGTGCTATGCTGGTCAGTGTTTTGACCACCTGCTAGTGCTACTCAGTGTGTGTCAGGGGAGGAGGGTTTGGTGGGAAGGAGGACCTGGGTGAATTCCAAGTTGTGAATGCTACCTTGGCAACTCTCATGAGAAATAACATAGTAGCAACTGTAGACATAGTTGATGCTGAAATTTCCAGATCATAGATGATACTGGGATGCGGTAAAACAGTGGTGAAGGGTGGGCTTTGAGCATTACCTTTTAAAAAATGATGTGCTTTGTTGACTTGTGAGTTTAGATCGTTTAGTTTTCAGTAATGACTCTGTTTAATAGCGGATCCACAAAACTGCTGTAACTTTAATACTCCATCCTGGTTAATAATCAGTGGAACTCTGCTTCAGGAAACCATTCATTTCCTTTTTATTAAAATATTTATGTTATATAAACTTCTTTACCCCTCCCCCCCTTTTTACTTTCCTTTGGTTAAAAGGTTCTTCATCCAACTATCCAGCCATTCACTCATTCATTCTACCAGTGTCCCACCATACACTGTGTTAGGAACTTGGGTCTCCAATGTGGACAAGGTGGCTGTGTGCTTTATTTAGTTTTGTTCATTGACCAATGCTCTGGAGAGAGAAATGGTCTATTATCTGACCAACAGATAGGTAAGCCCTCTTAACTGCATACCTGCCCTTTGTAACTAATGTTCTAAAGGCAGACAGGCTGATGCTATCAAGATAACACAGGGGTGTGACAGGGGAGGACTGAGCTCATGAAAGGTTTCTCCCATGGGGCGGATTTTAGGACAGTCAGCTTGGACTCACGTATACCTTACTAGGTAGGACACAAAGATTAGTGGGTTTTCATTGAAGTGGGTTTTGATGATATTCTGCCAGCTCTACTTTCAGACCAGGGATGGTCTCCCAATGAAACTGTTGAATTTAACTGGACAATAAGATGCTGGACTCTATGGATGGTCCATCCTCGCAATGAGGGAATCATGACTGGATATGAGCTGTACTATTGCAACAATTTGGAGGAATCCACCATGGGGAAAGGGCATGGGGAGGGGTTGGGGGAATCCTAGAGCCTATGATACTGTGTCATAAAATTTAAAAAAAAAAAGTGATGGTGGAATAAAGCCTGTTTTACTGAAGACAGGGTGCCCTCAGCAGCAGGCCCTGAGGCTGCAAACATGTTGGCAGAAGAGGAACCCTCTCATGTCGCTTGTGCCAGTGGTGTGGGGTGACCTGTGCCTCCCACTGAACGTGTGTGTGTGTATAGAGAGAGTCTGATGGATTGAGCTCCCGTGATTGCAATTCAAGGATACTGGAAAGGTCCTTATTGGCCAAGATGGGTGTGTCCATCAATACCAAGGAGAAAGATGGTCCCATTCATGTGCTGTGAGCTCCAGGGAGTCCTGGGTTTTCTTGTCTGCTTCATCACAAGGAGAAAAGGAAGGTACAGAGACTTCTGACTATAGCTCGGGTTTCATTTCAGGACCAGCAGGTGGGGCCAGGCCCAGGGAGGGCTCTCTGGGAAAGCCCATGCTAGTGTCTCTCTCTGCCTTGCAGATTGTGGACAAGAACAACCGCTATAAGTCCATCGACGGGTCGGATGAGACAAAAGCCAATTGGATGAGGTGAGTCCTGCCCTGTGCTGATTGCCACGGGGCCTGGCCTGGCCTCTGGAAAGGAGGCCATGAGGAGCAAGGGTCAAAGGTATCTCTAGTGAATGGAGCACTGCCCTAGAAAGTTCTGACTCTCTGGAGTTTGGGATGTTGCTCACTCCCTGGGTGGTGGTGGTGGTGGTAAATGCCCAGGCCTCCCTTGGGAAGCTCTGCAGGAGGGCCGTGGCCAGGGCAGTGGACACACACTTGGCACTGGATCTGGTGTACTCAGGCCCCAGGACTTGGGCTCATGGCACCTTCTTCAAGGGAGGGAGATGCAGGAGTCGTTCCCGGCTCCCCAGTGGAGAAGAAGGCTTCTGGCCAACTCCCAAGCTCGATTTCCAGCAGGACTTGCTGCCTGGCTTCGAGTTCTGTTGAGAGTGATTTTGCCTCCTTGAAATAGAGGTTTGGAATAGAAGGATCCTTAGAGGCCATCCAGGGGAGAGCAGGAGCCTGGCCCGGAGCCATCCCTATGGCTGAGCCGAGCCTGGAACTGTGCTGTGTACTGGTCTGTGTAGTGTGCCAGGGACCTTGGCCATGGGGCTGCATGGGCAGTGGTGGGAAACAGGCTCCTCATTGCCTCCTTGATGGTCTCTCTAGGGCCAAGGACATTGCCTGGGGGTTTGGATCTGGGTTGACAGAGGTGGGGGATGCTTGTAGGTGGCAGAGTGACTGTGCCAGTGGCAACTTCCTGGGCATTGAAACTCTGAGCTTCCTGGAGCAAGTGAGTAGAGATTGGTGGGAGGCAGGAGACCATAGGGAGGTGCCCTTTCCACTGGCCCTGTGCCCACCTGTGCTCCCACCAGAGAGCCTGGATGGGCTGAGCTGCATCCTCCCAAAAGGCTGCTGTCCTCAGTGCTGCTTCGCTGGTGCAGCATGGGAGATCTTGTGGTGTAGGGACAAGCACCCTTTCCAGCCCCTGTGACCCAGACAGCACCCTGAAAGGATTCCTGGGAAGGCAGAAGACACTACCTGCTCCGAGCCCCTAGGCGCAGGTTAGCTGGACACCTGCACTTGCTGCTGCCCCATGCATTGAGCACCTGCTCGCTTTAGACTCTGCACTACTGGGTGCCCAAGGTAGCTAGCACCCATTCCTTAGAGATGTCACTGCACGGAGGCCCTGACAGAACAGGAGAAGCCTTGGCTGTGGGCCTTCCATGTAGCTAGAGTTGGGTCTGGGGTGCCGTGTGCAGGTGGAGACGCGGTCCTGACCCCGACCCCTGGCTATACTGGGAGAGTGTGCCTATGATTGTCCATTCTGGCGTCAGGCTTTCCTGCACTGTCGTGCTCATGACTCTGTCCACTCCTCACCCCTCTTGGAGCTCTTGCTTTGGAGATAAGGCTTTCTCACAGCCCGGAAGTAAGGAATTCCTTAGGAGGACTCATAGCCATTATCTGGCACCCCCTGGAATCTGACTTGGCTGGACTGGGCCTGGGGTGCTCGGATGGCTCCAAGTGCTCCACAGTGCCAGGGATGTGCTGAGAGCTGCCACTATGTACTCAGCATCCTGCCTCAATGATCAGACCAAGGCCCACAATAAGACAGGATCTTACTCCAGGTGACAGAACTGGAGTGGGGACAGCAGCACAGGGAACCCAGTGCAGCATGGTGGGTGTGCCCTGAGAGTGGCTTGAACTACCTCCACCCCCCTGCTCGCTGGGGTTCCCCCACGCCTCCCATAATCCACACCCTGACTCCTGACCAGAGAACAGTGCCTGCGTGGTCACAACCAGCAGATAACATCGTATGAAGGCTCAGGGAGCACCTTGGGTCATGGGTGTGTGGTTCATTGCCATGGAGATGCCCTTTTCTGGTAATGATTGGAAGAGGGGGAAGGGAGAGCCAGTTTTCTGGGAGCAGTGCTCTGCACCTGCCTTCTGTACAGCTTCCATGTGTGCAGCTCTTCGTGGCTTAGGAATGATGGATTGGAATGGGTGATGGGCCAGGAAAGGAATAGGCACTCACATTTGGAGCCTTGACTTTGTGGCAGCCCAGGCAGTGTCAGGTGCCCTGTGTGCAGGGTCCTTCCACCGGGAGCTGCTGTGGTGTTGGCGGCCTCTAGCAGGGCCTGGAGACCATTTTGGTAGCCCCTGCTCTGCAGGTGGATGCTACCGATTTTTATGGAGGGTGTGGATTCTGCATGGCATGGGGTGTGCCTTCTCCCTCCAGCAAGCAGCTCCCCAGCTTTACCTGACAGTGGTGGTGACACTGAGACCAGCAGAGTCCTCCCGCCAGCCCTGGGAGGCGACAGCGGAAGGACTGCTCTGGTTACCCTGAGACCCCAAGGTGGGTACCCACCTTGCCCAGGGACACTTGCTCTGTAGTTCCAGATGCCTCTATCTCGTATTCAGCCTTCCTCCCTCTTCCCATTCTTCAGGATTCGGGGTGGGAGTAGGTGGGGTAATAAGGGCTGCAGAGCTTTAGCTGTGTGATTTGGGAAGCAGCGAGAGGTGAGTCAGGCTCTGCATTTCACTCCATGCCCTGGTGACCTCTCTTGGATGAACGTCTGGGCATGAAAGGGTGGGCAGAACCATAGCATGGGGAAGCTGAGTTCCAGGGCCTTGGTGGCAGATGCCAGATCTGATGGAACGGTCACATCATGGCCGGTGTCCTGGCTGCTCAGCCACAGTGCAGACTGAGGTCACTCCTGGTGTCCGTCCTAGGGGGACTCGCCTCTCAACAGACATTCACAGAATCCCCAAATTCTGTGAAAAGGTGGTAGTGGCATCCCCTCGCCTATGGCTGGGGAGCCTATTGCCTGCATGGCTTCAGGGCTGGGAACCTAGGGGTCATGTGATAGAATAAGCCTTCTGGGACCCCATCAGGGTCCAGCCTGAGTTGGACACCACGCACCATGACCTTTCTAAACTGTGTCCCTGTGTGTGCCCTTGCTCGCCCTTCCCTGTGGCTGTGTAGTTCTGTTGCATACAGCACCTGGTGCTTAGGGTCCCTTAGGAAGCATCATAGCTCTCTTAAGGTGCCATGCCTTTCCTGCCTTCCTGACCACCCCTATGGGAGAGGTTGGATGGGCTACTTTGGCCAGGCTGGGGGGAGCTGGGGCAAGGCTGACATGGAAGGCGACCACGCCCAGTGCACCCTCTCCCTCCCACCTGTGGACCATGCATCTCCTCCTGCCGTGCTGCCCTGTCCTCCTCGGAGCAGTGGAAGGACAGGGAGGCTCAGTGGCAGAAGGGTGTAGTGGGGACCAGGCCACCGCAGGCTCTTCCTGGCACCTGCTCCCCTGCCCCACTCCACTGCCCTACTCCGGCTGGGGAGGTACCAGCCATTAGGAAAGAAAAAGACCACGTACACTGATGGTCATTTACCCAATTGTGCTTTGTGGGATATTCAACCCAAGGAACGTGGCGCCCCTGGCCGAGCGCAAGAGGAAGCCCAAATTCTCCAAGGAGGAGCTGGACATTCTAGTCACCGAGGTGACCCGCCACGAAGCGGTTCTCTTTGGGAGGGAGACCATGCGGCTGTCCCATGCCGACAGGGACAAGATCTGGGAAGGCATAGCCCGGAAGGTCACCTCCGTCAGCCAGGTCCCCCGCTCCGTCAAGGATATTAAGCACAGATGGGATGACATGAAGCGGAGGACCAAGGACAAGCTGGCGCTCATGCGGCAGTCCCTGTCAGGCCCCGGGCCAGGCGGCCGGGCCCCCACCATCGTGCTCACTGCCCATGAGAGGGTCATCGAATCAGCGCTGCTCACATCCCGGGCTGGGCATGGCTTCACCAGGGCAGAGCTGGACGTCGCCGACAGCCCATCCACGAGCTGTGAGTATTCGCCCATGGAGGCCTGAGACTCGCCTAATCTGCTCCCTCTGCGGTGCCTCTCCAGCTTGCCCTCTCTCCCTCCCCACCCTTGCCCTCACTCCTGTTCTCACGCTGTTCCCCTCTCCGTCCCCTGCAGACTATTTGCTGAGCTTTTCTCACATGCCAGGCCTCTCTTTCCCTGGCCCCATTCCCGGAGACTTCTTGGGCTCTCAAGAGTCAGCCTACACCTTTCCAAAGACATTGCATGAGGCAGTTTGTAACCAAGTCCCTAAAGTCCCCGGGAGAGGGGCCAGGGGCTTCTGACTCTGCTCTTGCCTTTGGACATCCCTCGTGGCTTTTGCACAAGAGGGCCCCCGTTCGCCTTTGGCGTTTGGCTCTGTGCCGTGGGAGGTGACAATTGGACTGAGACAGGCAGGCTGAGTAAGAGTTAAGCAGGCCAGGCGGGGTGTGGGGCGCAGAGGAGGGGCTGGGAGACTGGGGCCAGGGAGAACAGCATGTACGAGGAGGAGGCCCCACATCAGGAAGGCGTTTGGCACGTTCCAGAAGAGCAGAGAGGTTGGGGAAGCCTGGGTGTTGGGGAGCAGGCATTGGGGAGTGGAGTGAGAGGAGGCAGCCAAGTTGTCCAAATCACTATGGTGGGTTCCTTTGTCTTTGTGCACGTTGCCTGCACGCTCCTGTCCTGTGTGCGTGACTTCTTCACCCCCTCACCCTTCCACTCTGCTTCTGGCCGGCCCGAGAACATCCCTGCTGGCTCCCCAGCGCCTGTCCCATTTCTCTGTCCCCTTCTCCCTTCCTCCTGCTCCGTGCCTTTCATCTCTGCTGCCTGCATCTCAGATGGACTGAGACCAGGGGTGCAGTAGCCAAGGGGATCCCTCCCACCCTCTGTCATGGGCATCCCCTGGAGGCAGGGAGCCAGCCGAGGGCCAGCCCATGGGACACATGGGACACAAGGACCCTGCCAGCCCTGCCAAGCCCTCCACTCCCTTCCCCCTACCTTGTCTTTGGCATTTGATCACTTCCTGTTGACTCGGGGCTTCTGAGAGGTGGATGGTCCTGGAGGCAGGTTTCCTGGACTAGAAGGGACCCTAGAGGCCCTGGTATCCAAACCAGGGAGCTTAAGCTCCAAGCTCAATTCTGAACCAGGACTTGAACCTGGCCTGACCAGTTCCCTGGGTATTAGGATTCTCCTGAATCTCATGGTGATTCCATCCAATCCTGAGAAAGAGAAGGGGGCCCAGTGCCAGCAAAGGCTCTCCCTGGACCTGCCCTGCTCACCCCTCTGTGTCCCTCGCACCAAAGAGGTGCCCTCTACCATAGCTCAGCCAGCACTGTCTCCCCAGCTAGCAGCCAGCTGTCCCAGCACTGGCCATGGATGCAGTGGTCTGAGGCCCCCAGGAAGGCGGAAGCTGCAGTCCCTCACTGGCCTCACTCCCTCCAGCCCTGGTCATGCCAGGTTGCTTGATCCAAGGGCATGGGTACTGCCCGACTGTGCAGGTTCAAGAGGCACTTGCTCTTCCCGTGCTGGCCTAGATGAGACCCTGAGAGACCGGCCTGGCAAACCTGTGGTTCCTGTTACTGCCCCAGTGGTGAACATTGCCAGCATTTTTCTTCCTACCCTGGGAAATTGGCTCCTCCCCTGGAAGGCGGAGCTCCACCCTATGCGGGCTGCACCCCTCCCACTATCCTGCTTTTGGTCAGGTGCTTGTGGGTGAGGGCAGAGGTGCTTGGCCTGCCAGTCTTCCCTTGCCTGCGGCTGTCCCTTCGTGGCAGTGTTGAGGTGCAGATTCCAACAAGGCCACAAGGTGGCTCCAAGTAGCCAGGATTGGTCGGTTTTCCCTCCTTCCCCCCTGCCCTCCCCCGGCCTGCCCAACCCTCTTGGGTCTGGAGCTGAGCTTGGAGACCAGGGTGCCCCACAGCTGTCCATTGAGAGCATCCAGGTCCCTGTCAGCCTTGCCACATGCCCTCGTGGTGGAGGGGAGCAGGGGGCTCACGTGCTGCAGACCCCTGGGCTGACACAGCCATCACCAGCCCTGGAATCTCCCGGTTCCCAGTTGCAGCTGTCACCTCCTGGTATGCAGAGCAGGGAAACTGGGAGCAATTGGGGTTCCCTGTCCCCCAGGGCCCATGCACCTCAGGGTTTGAGGGAGCATGGACTTCACTTGAGGCAGGGTAGGGGGTGTTGCTGGCTAGGATCGTTTCTGAGCCCAGGGCTGTCCCCTCCTATCCCTAGTAACCAATGCTCCTTCTGTGTCTCTCTTACTCAGATGACGAAGAGGACGAGGCACCAGGGCCCTCGCGGCAGCCCCTACAGCAGTCACTGCAGGAAGAGGCTCACCTGGCCAGGCCTGCCCTGCTCTGCTCCTCCTCCTCCTCAGACCAATCTGAGTCGGTGGGCCCCAAGCCCGAGGCTGTGCCCCGGTCCTCACCCCAGGCCACGTGCAGGACCCCCCGGCCGCACCCCAGCCCACCCACCACAGGCCTTGACTGGCAGCTCCTCCACATGCACACGCAGCAGACTGAGGTCTTCCAGCAGTTCTGCCAGGAGCTGGTGACCGTGCACCAGGACATGGCCCGCAGCATGCATGTCCTTGGCCAGGCCATGGCCGAGCTGAGCAGCCGTGTCAGTCAGATGTGCCAGACGCTAGCTGAGATCCGAGATGGCATTCAGGCATCGCAACGGGCACCGGATGGGGCAGCCCCCACGGGCTGTACCCTCCAAGCCCAGGCACCCCCACTGGAGCCCCCACAGGCATTCCCGATACCAGCCCCAGCTCGGACTACCAGATCGCGGAAGAGAAAGCACAATTTCTAACCTGGCTGGTCTGCATTAGGATGAAGATGGTTGCAAGAGTGGGAGCCAGCTTCTATGTCCAGGAGCGGGACCGGAAGGAGAAGGACATGGGGGGCCAGTCATCTCCTCGGAAGATGCAGCCGGCTGCCCTGGGCTCCCAGCACACCGTGCTCCCCTCTCCCTTGGCAGGAGCTCCCAATGCAAGCAGAGCTGCCTGCTTGATGCTTGCTTGGCCTGGAAATTCAGCCTCCCACGGTCTGTAGCCCGAGGGAGCAGGCAGGTGGGACAGTGGCGGGAGGATGTGCCAATAGAGCCCTGCTTCTTATGGCAGGGACAAGGCACAGGCAAAGGGCGAGCTCAGACTTTGCCGGAGGGACTTTTCTCCCCTCCCCCAAGGCTTGGAGGCCTCCCCTGGGTGGCGCACCCATGGCTTGCGCTCCTCCTGCGTATGCTCTGCTTGCTGTGCTTGTGGGGGAAAGCCAGAAGGAGGGCAGCACGCGGAGGAAGCCGTTTCTTTCCCTCCGAGCATCGGTGCTGTACTGGGCGGATACGTGATCTGAGTGGATCTTCAGGACCACCAGTGAGGCAGTCAGATGGGGCGTGATTGGGATCACTAATGTTGTCATCGTTTGCATTCCTTAAGTGTCCAGTGGCACAGCCAGTTAGCCATGGGGCCAAGACAGTGGAGTTGTCCAGCTCCCTCGTCAGAGACCAGATGATAGAGTGGCAGGAAGGAGGGGTGTTGTTCCTTGTCTGGCCCCTGCCTCAGCTGTCTCAGGTGGAAATGCAAGGCAATAGCAGAAGCCCTTAGCAGGTGACTCTAGTCTTTCACACTGGCCTGAAGGCTCCTGGCCAGTGGCTGGGGAAAGGCCAGCACTCAGGTCTTGGGAAACAGAAAGGCATCCTCTCCTCTGGCTTTGGAAAGAACCCAGTGCGCAGCAGGGCTTGTGTCCTGTTCTGGGTTCCAGCATGCCTTGCCTCCGCTTGCTTGGGCTGCATCCGCACTGGCGACACACATATGTACCTCTAGCTTCAGGCTTCGTTTCAGGGGATGAGGACAGGACTGGGCTATTAGCATTAGGGAGGGAGATTCCAGAAAGCAGGTGCGAGCTTAGCTGTGACCTCTTGGCTTGCCAGGCGGAGGCTGACCCCAGCAGAACTTCCTCTTCTCATCTTGCCCTCCCGCATCTGTGGCAAGGGCTAGAGACCTGCTGTGGGCGGACCTGCTGAGCTGCTCATGAGCCTGGCCAAGCTTTGTGCTCCATAGCGGGTACCACAGGCCACCGCAACATCCTGATGCCTCTGGCTTCCTGTCCTGGATTGTGTGCTTCTTTGGTTGGGGTGGGGGGGCCTTTCCTGCTCCCCCAGTCTGAACACTGTCTTGTTCAGTAGCCTGAGGGCTTGATTCTTGCCCAGAACTAACCCCTCTTCCTCTGCTGGAATCCAAGATTACCTTCCTAAGTAATTTTTTTTTTTCCCTTTTTGTGAAGATGGCAATAAAAAGAACTCAAGTCTCACACTTTGAACACACCCAGGCTCCAGGATCTTTCTTTGGTGTGTCTTCTGTTTCTTCGTGCCCATGAGACCCCCTCAAGGGCCCATCAAAACTGGGGTTAGATGAGTAGGAAGAGGTATGCTGGGATGAAGGGCTCAGGTGCCCCTCGTGTTGCCTGGATGCCATGAGCTCGCAGGTGGGTACCTGCATCCGGCGCTGTGCCAAGTGGCTGCAGGAGAGGAGAGGCAGGAAGCAAAGCAGCTGCCCCTCTGTGCATCACCAATGGCAGGCTGCCCGTGAATTCTGCCTTGGCTTAACTTGGGGTGGGAGGGAATCATCAACTTTTCTGGCAGGGAACTCCCAGGCAGGTCAGGGACTGCCCGTGACCTGGTATGCTCCAGGGAACACCTGCAATGGGGGCATTGTTGGGATACCTGCCTGACACTGCCTGTCACAGACATGCCCTTGCCTACTCAGGGCTGAGGCTGTTGATGACTGCAGAGAAGGATCATCCCCACCTGGGCAGTGTTGCAGCCCATGACCAGCCTCCCAGAGAGCTTCTCCCAGGCAGGGAACCCTTGAGTCTTGACCATAGATCTTCTTTCCAGAAGGTTCTATCCTTCCTGTCACCTCTTAGAATCTAGGGTGCTCTCTACAATTCTTGGCTGTGGAAACCAGAACCATCAACATTCCAGGAGGTGTAGGGCAGTGGGCTTGGCAGCTCCTGACCAGCTTCTCAGTTTGAGTTCTAAGGAGATAAGGGGCCAAGTTGGAGGCTATAAAAGGGACAGAAGTAGAACAAAAAGGATGGTGAGGCCAAGAGACTTGTAGTTGCTGCCACTGGGCTTCCGTGGGGTAGTGGGGCCAGTGGATTGAAGCAGGAAGAAAAGGCAAAACTGGTGGGTGGAGATAAATGGAAACCCAGTAAAGGGGCCCTCCAGCCATGTCCAGAGCTATTGGAGGCCAGCTGAGTAGCTGGGGCATGGATGTATGACCCAAACACCCTCCCACTCCAGAGACCTCACTGTTTAGCCTGTGAGGACAAAGCTCAACTACTTCTCATCCATCTCTTCCTGTTTCTGCCTCCTTGAGTCCTTCTATCAGTCAGGTATGAGTGGCACCTGGCCTTGCTTTGTCCCTTGCAATGAAAACAGGTGCACCCTGGGTGGACTGAGAGTCACTTCCAGACGCAGCTGGCACATGTGGCACTCCTGATAAAAACCTGTGAGTGTGCGTGTCTGTGTGTATACAGGAACCCTGTCAGAGTTTAACCTACAGACAATATATTAGCATTATGGAAGGCTGGGTCCAGGACCTGTCTTGACCCCACTGCCCCCATCCCCTTGATGGTGCCTGAGGTCCCCACTTCCATTGGCTGGGTATGAAGGGTGATCAGATAAGCTAGCTCTCTTTGCACATACTCGTGGCCTTCTGCTCAGAGAGGTGAGGGTCTGGTAACTCCTGTGGCCTTGCACACAACTGCCCAGCTGCTGTGATCACACAGGTGTTTCACTCCCTGGATGTGTTTCGCATTTGAGGGTGAGCTTGTGTACCTCCATCCCTGTAATGGGACAGTTGTGACTCTTCCTAAAGGGGTTGCCATGGATGAGCGAGGGAGGGAAGCAGGAATATCCCAGGAGTGGGTCTAGTCAGCATGTGAAAAGAGACCAAACTGGCAGGCCTGGGTGTTGGGGTTTGCTTAACTGGCTTCATTTAGCATCAGGAACAACTAACAGGGAAATGGATTGATTGTGATGTATGTGTGCAGCCGTGTGGTGTTTCAAATGCCAAGTTTCCGAACATCCAAACATAGCGAGTTGCCTAACGTTCTGATCTACTGTGCAAGATCCTGTGGTCTGTGCAGAGACTGTGTTGGGGGCTCCCTTTCCTGTAGTGGAGGACAGCATCAGAGGATGGAGGAGAGATACAGAGTCGGCTAGAATCTTTCTAAACCTTTAGCTGTCATGTGCTCCTCAGCCACCTGCTTCTCTTTGAACGCATCTCCTGGCTTTGAGAGCTGGATGGTCAGCTGCTTGACAACCGAGGGACAGGGTGGAGATGGCACTGTGTTATTATGTCCTCTGAGAGTGACTCTTGGGGAGGAGTGGATGATGGAAGGGTTTGTTTTGCATATCTGGGATCGGGGAAGCTGGGACTGCCTCAATTCTGTTCCACGCTGCTACTGTTAGGGTGACTCTTGGATGTTGGAGCCCAGACGCTCTCTTGCATTTGGGTTTTGGAAAACACACATTCAGAGGTGGAGAAAAAGTAGACTGTGGTTGGAGGGTTGGGAAGAGTTGGGATTTGTGTGGTGGAAATGTGGAATGACTTGTGTGAACCTGAGATGCTCTTCTCTTGCCCCATCCATCACCTTGAAGTTATTTCCCAACAAGGTCATCGCCCTATTGAGGTCACAGCTCAGGGAGACCAATATTTGGATCAGGTGTTGATTGGATCATAGAGCTCCCATGTGGGGCTGCATCCTGGACCAGATGGCACATTCCGGGGTGCTGAGCATGATGGACTTTGCAAGTGACACATCCACAGAGTGGAGCTTGCCTCTTTAAAAGAAGAAAGTGGCCAGAGCTACTGTATGCTCCCTGTCCCTCTGGTTCTTCCCCATGCTGGGCTCTGGTCTCCCTCCTTCTTGCACAATGGAGCGATCCCCCAGGTTCCGGTAGTCTCCACCTGCCACCCTTCCAAGGCTGAGCGGAGCAGACTCCACAAGGGACTGCCCATGTGAGAAGGGTGGGATGGATGGGGGTGGGGAAAGATAGCTGGCACTACCCCCTGGGCATCTCCAACCTCACTGCTCCGTGCTGCTGGCCGCCGTGATTGCTGTCTCTGCCACCTCATGATGGGATTGGCGTTGGTGTGTTTCTTGTTTGTTTGTGTGGGAGGGTGAATAACAATGATAACTCCTTACTGGAGAAAACTGGGGAAGATCAGGAAGCCACAGAGATGATTCACCTGTCTTGGGAAGTCACTGGTAAAATGCTCATAATGCTTTCTCCAGGTACTTGAACAAAGCTTGTTGTTACAGCATTTTTTTTTTAAGGATGTATTTTATTTTTACTGGTAAGTCAGATATACAGAGAGGAGGAGAGACAGAAAGGAAGATCTTCAGTCCGTTGATTCATTTCCCAAGCAGCCACAATGGCCAGAGCTGCTCCGATCCGAAGCCAGGAGCCCAGAGCCTTTTCTGGGTCTCTCAAGCAGGTGCAGGGTCCCAAGGCTTTGGGCCATCCTCAACAGCTTTCCCAGACCACAAGCAGGGAGCCAGATGGGAAACGGGGCTGTCCAGATTGGAACTGGCACCATATGGGATCCCAGCACGTGCAAGGCGAGGACTTTTAACAACTAGGCTGCCACACTAGGCCCCACAGCATTATTTTTTTAAATTATTTATTTATTTTTATTTGAAAGGCAGCATTACGTGGGGAAGGAGAGATAGAAAAAGAGATCTTCCATTTACTGGTTCACTCCCCAAATGGCTGCAACACACAGTGCTCCTGACTTCACCCTGTCCCAGCCTAGATGCTTGTAACTCCGTGAAGCTCCAAGTGACTTCCCCTCCCTTTTGTTCTATGTGCACCTCTACTTCTCAGCAGGTGTCACCTGTTCACCTATCTCCCAGGGGACAGGGTGCATGCTAGAAATGTTGTGCTAGAGAGAAGGAGTAAAAACTGTGTGTTTGGGGAACTTGATCAAACTTGACGGGCGGGCTGGGTATTGCTGAGTTACTGCTTTCTCTGCCCAGTGAGAGCTATGAGTCACTAAGGGAAGAGCTTTGGGCCACCATTGTCCAGCTCTCATTTTTCAACTGCGTGACCTTGGACAAGTCACTTTGCCTTTCTGAGCCTCCAAATCTTCACCTTAAGTCATTTCGTTAGCATAACCAATGCTTTCCTTTCCTCTGTCCCCAGAAGACCCCTCATTTTTACAGGTGTTAATCTTGGACACATGCTCTTTGATGTCGTGGATACTCTTGTCGTATGGTTTGTTTCCACTGGGCTCTGTGAATCATGGAACCAAGCCAGGGACTCTACCTTTAGGCCACCAAAAGCCTGAAAATGTAGGCCATGGCTGTAGTTCCAAGGGTGAGGAGTGGACTAGTTGTCAGTTACCTTTCTACCTGCTGTTGAACCTTAACTTCCCTATAACTTATGAAGGAGACAGGGTGTCATTGCCATTCTCAGACAATAGCAGAGACCATCTCGGGATCACACACAGCAGTGACGAAAGAACAGGGACTGGCTCAAGCTGGTACTTCTGTCCCATGCCCAGCACCAGCTGGAGTAGCCCATGCATTCTCACTTGTCCCCACCTTGCCCCCCAGGTACGTGGTCATCTCCCGGGAGGAGCGGGAGCAGAACCTCTTGGCCTTCCAGCACAGCGAGCGCATCTACTTCCGGGCGTGCCGGGACATCCGGCCTGGGGAGCGCCTGCGGGTCTGGTACAGCGAGGACTACATGAAGCGGCTACACAGCATGTCCCAGGAGACCATCCACCGCAACCTGGCCAGAGGTGAGTGTGCTCATGCTCGGGGCCGCAGCCAGTGGCTTCTCTAGGGACCACCTCACCAAGTCAGTGAGCAGTGCAGTCCTCAGCCATGGAAAACCCAGAGTACCTTGTGGGAGCTAATGACTCGAGTGGGAACAGCAGCTACATACCAGGCAGTGGCCACCCCGTTGTGTTCTCCTTACTCTAGAAGAGATTTGAGACACCCTTACCATGTCCATCTCAGAGTGTCAGGGAGAGACAAGATCCCAGAGCCAAGCAAAGGAATTTTGTTGGCAGTTTCTCCTGGCCAATGGATGAAATCCTGTTGCACACTGCAGTGGCCTCCAGGATGGTACAGTGATGGGAACTGTTCACTGAGTGCTTCATTAACACGCACTCAGTAAGTTTCCACCTGTTTCCATGTCATCACCACCATAGTGGTATAGACTGTGTGAGCAGTGCCATGAGGCTAGAGGGACTAATGCACCTGTTACATTGACCCGTGTCTGCCTTGAGTGTGGTAAGCTCTCAA